CGGCGTAACGTATGTTGCCAAGCAAGCATCTACCCACCTGGAATCGGCGATGCATCGACGACAGCTCGGCGATACGCACCCGACAGCAAAACCGCGCCTTCCTGGGCGGGTTGGGCTGTCGGCCCCCCATCGGCCATCGATGGGCGATCGGGGGTCCATGCCTCTGGCTATACGCAAGAGTGACCCTGGGTAAGAAAGACCTTTGGTGCGTGGCTTCGGGGGGGGCCGCGGGGAGGCCAAATTCAGGCGCGCTAGCCGCTGCTACCGCTTCGCGTGCAGCCATCTGGGGGCCCATCTGTGCCCGCACCAAAGGTCACTCCGTCGAAAGGTCGCTCTGACGTCTGGTCGTCCCCCTGAGACCATCCCCCGTCCCAGGCTGGCTTCCGGCCCGAACTCGGGCCCACCCCCGGGACGCCCTCGGCGAGGCGCAGCTGCTGGCTGCCCCGATACGCAACACGCAACACGTATCGTATTGATACGGAGCTCAACACGTAGGCTGAAAACGTAGGTCCGACGCGATACACTCGCCAAAACGTGGTCCAAGACGTGGAGCCAACACGCAGCGCATTGGCACGGACGTCTTGAGCACGGGACGCATTGCGTTTCGAAACGGGCGCATCGAGGCAACTAGGGCTGGAAGGGGCCCCGAGGCTGGAAGGTCGCCGGGACCCGACGAAGACATCCGACGACCTCGGACCTCGAACCCGAGCCATCCCCCCCCCCCGAGCCTGCCCACCCCACCCTGCCGTTGCCTCTGACCTCGGGCCCGATGCCGAGGTCCCGCACGCGCGCGGCCCAGTAGCGCTGGTCCAGCAGCAGGATCCCGCTGACCACCGCCGGGATGCCCGCGGCAAGCACCTCTCGCTGGGACGCCAAGAAGCACACACGCAAAGCGTCCAACATCTTTGAATATTTCCTGGATTTTGGTCTTCTCTAGTTCGATCATTTTTCAATGCCTGGTTCAACATCGATATGTTTTGTGTCTGTGCCGCTTTCTCTCTTCTGAACCTCCGAAGTGATGCCAAGCCCGCCGTGGACGACCGCGGCGTCGAGCCGCGGGAACAGCTCCCCGAAGTCCACACCCTTGCGCAGCACCAGCAGCCGCCGCTCCTTGTGTGGAGGAACAAATAACGACATAACATTACGCGCGGATTTCTTGGATCGGCGCTGGACCCCCCTCCCTGGAGCGCGGAGTGCGCCGGGGGCGGCGCCTGAGGCACCGCCAGGGGGGGCCCAGCGCGGATCCGAGAAATCCGCGCAGGCCTCCACAACATTATGTTCACGCCGATTTTGTATTCCGACTCTGAGGAGACTCCTGGAGGCCTCGCGCGGCAACCCGAGACCAAATTTACCTCGGATCCACGCCAGACCATCGCCGCGCGAACAGTGCCCCGCATCTAACGGGGCGGACGTGAGGAATAGAGATAACGCAACTGTTGGGCGCCGCGCGAGGCCTCCAGTTCCTCCAGAGGCCTCCTAGATGGGGTCCGAGGAGATGGGGTCAAAGGATCGCGCCGCATCGCCAATGCATCGCCGATGTATCGGCGACGTCGGCGTGGGGAAGCACGGTCTCCACATCGAGCCGCATCACCGATGCATCGGCGATGCGGCGCGATCCTCCGACCCCATCTACTCGGACCAAGGCCGGGCTAACGGCGATGTTGCCTAACGGTGATGTTGGGAACCAAATTGTAGGAAACAACGAACCACACTTCCCTACAGCTCCCATCTGCGAACGGATCCAGCGACAGCGACACAGCGACGTGTAGGAAAGCACGAGAGCCACGCGACCCCGCAGTGCCAAAACCTACATCGCCGTTAGCCCGTCTATGTTTAGGGGGACGAACAATGACATAAGCATAAAAACTCGGAGGTCCGCGCGGATTTCTCGCATCGGCGCTGGACCCCAACCCCCTGGCGCGCGGAGCGCGCCAGGGGCGGCGCCGGAAGCGCCGCCAGGGGGCCCCAGCGCGGATCCGAGAAATCCGCGCGGACCTCCGAGCTTTCATGTGTGTTCTGTCACTCTTCGTTCCCCTGGGTTCGCCCGTCCCTCGATCGGAACCCACCTGGGAGGCCTCGAGACTCTCAGCGCTCCCTCTCGAGGCGCTCCACCCTGCGGTGCAGCTCGCCGTCGCGGGCCACGGGGTCGAAGCCCTGCCCGCCGACCATCGCGATCATGGCTGGGGTCGGGAGGCCCTCGTGCCGCTCGCCCACAGGGCACAGCTCGCAGACCGCCGCGGCTGCCTGGAGGATCTTCCGCTCCCCCACGGGCATCGACAGAGGACCACAAAAAAGGCATACATATTAACTTTCGGCGCTCCGCACGGACTTCTCGGATCTGCGCTGCACCCTCCTCCCTGGCGCGCAGAGCGCGCCACGGGCGGCGCCGGAGGCGCCGCCAGGGGCGCCGGCGCAGATCCAAGAAATCCGCGCGGACCTCCGACAGTTTATGTTGATGCCGCTTTGTGCTCTTCGAATCGAGGAGAAGGCCATAATGGCAACCTTCCTGCCGGCACTCTTCGCCTCGTCGACGAAGTCGGCCACGTCCCGGTCCAGCCCGCCGCCGCTGCGGCTCCGGAGGAAGATGAAGCTCGTGAGCGTCATCCCTTCGGACCGCATCTGGTCCGCCTGGCCCCCGAGAACGACATCGCTGATGGGAACCACCTTGCGGGCAAGAGTTGTGTCCCTATCCACTGCGTCTTGGACTCTCTCGCAAGGGGCGCCACAAGGCCGAGGCGCAGTGGATCTGGATAGGCTAATCTAGCCCCCCCAAAAGGGGCCAGATCACTGTAACTACTCCACTGCGCCTCGGGCTCCTGGGGCCGGGAGCCCGAGACTCCAAGACGCAGTGGGTCATGGATACGGTCGGACTCGATTGGAGAGGACACGCGAGAGGGCACAAGACCCTTCCGAGGGCCACACTGCCACAGGAATGGAGGAAGCATGGGTCGCGAGCCACAGGACACGAGGGTACCCCTGATTTGGCAAGGTCGACCCACTGGCCTGGGCCGACTGTGCGCACCCGGCCCGCACGCCTGAGGGATGCGCTGCGTGGTGAGCTCGTGGTACTGCAGGAAGAAATTGTACACGCCGCGCGGCCGCCTGCCGAGGCCGCGCGTCCTCTCCGGGGCCCGCCCGGGCCCGCCCCGCCTCTCGCCGCCGCTGGGGCGTCCACTCCCCGCCCATTCCTTTTCGGCTTCGTGCGTGCGTGTTTCGCAAGGCGACGTCGAATGCTCCTCGATGGTCCTCGCCGAAGGGAAAAAATGCGCACACGTCCAGGCGATGCCAAGGACTTCGGATCCGCCGTGCTTTGGCTGACATTGCGCCTTGAGATTGTGTCGGAAACGCACCCCCAAGCGATGCGACAACATAAGGCGGACAAATCTCCGACTCAGAGGAAGAGCAGCGACGCGCACCCCATAGGTTGATCGGCTCCTCCTCCTCCTCCTCCTCCTTCCCCTCCCCCTCCCCCTCCCCCTCCTCCTCCTCCTCCTCCTCCTCCTCCTCCTCCTCCTCCTCCTCCTTCTCTTCCTCCCCATCCTCCTCCTCCTCCTCCTGCTCCCGCTCCTCTTCCTCTCCTCCTCCTCCTCCTCTTCCTCCTCCTCCTCCTCCTCCTGGTCGTGGGGAGGGGCGAAAGGGTAACTAGGAGAGCAATGGGCAGGATATTGTCGGACTCAAGCCAGAAAAACACATCCTTCGAGAACATACAAGACCCTCCGTCGGCCAAAGCAAACATAACAGCCAAGGGTAGCCTCCCCAGGATGCACAAGAACAGCCAACAGATACGAAGAGCACTAGGGTGTCCTCCCCGAACCGACCTCGATCTTATACCTCGGTCCGACTGTAGAGACCTTCAGCTCACGCAACTTGTATTCCTGGCGCCTGGAGGCGCCCATGTGTCGAGGAATTGGCCCCACGGCCAGAAACCAGCTGCATGCAATAGATTTCGTACCCCCCCCTCCTCAACGAAACGCGACCAACCCCCGACATGTAGACCCGCGAGAAGGGCTCAAAATGCAGACCCGTGCAGTGGGGGCTCAAATGTAGACCCCGACCAAACAGATCCTGAAATGTCGACCCTCGCGAGACCTAAGCACCCTGCAATGTAGACCCCGACCTGAAGGACCTTGAAATGTAGACCGCGCGCGGAAGGCGAGGGTCTACCTTTGGGGGTGCGCCGGGCAGGTCTACATTTCAAGGGCCGTTCGTTTTCTCCTGAGTACCCTCCCCTTTCCCTATCCCCCCCTCTCGTCTGGCTCGATCCAAGCTTCAGGTCGGGTGCGGTGGGTTCCTGCCGTGACGACCTGCGCCTTGGCTCCTGGCACCGCGTGGCTCGTTCGACCGTGGACGATGGGGGGGGGGGGGGGGGTGGGGGGAGAGGGAGGGGGGGGGGGGGCCCAGGGGGGGGGGGAGGGGGGCCCGCGAATCTCCGACGATAAGATGGGCCGACTTTCACCACCCACCCATGCGAGGGAGAGGAGGGGGAAGAGGAGGAGAAGAGAGTAGGAGGAAGAGGAGGAGGAGGAGGATGAAGGGAGGAGGAGGAGGAGGAGGAGGAGGACCTCCCCATCCTCCTTTCTCCCCCGTCCAACCTATGGTAGTGCTAGTGGAACGTCGGCCCATCAGACAGCGCACACCGCTCGATGCCGGCCGACGCTATGCCAGTGGCGGCGTTCATCCTTGAACGCTCGCGTTTGGGCCGCCACGGCGGAGGGAGAACGCAAGGGGGGGGGACTGGCTCGGGGGAGGCAGCGCCGACCCGGACTCGGCGGTACGTCGCCGAGGGATCGGCGGCAGGCCCCCGATGGCGAACCCGCACGTTAGGAGGAGGAGGAGGAGGAGGAGGAGGAGGAGGAGGAGGAGGAGGAGGAGCAGCAGCAGGAGGAGGAGGAGGAGGAGGAGGAGGAGGAGGGGGTCGACGCATCCCTTCCTGAACCCATCCCTGGCCCTGGCGGCTTTCGGGCCACAACATGCCACAGCTCGGGCCTCGGGTGGCTGCTCGGAGCGATCCGGGCATGCCCGGAGCGCCCTCTGCGGGGCGCAGCCCCTGGAAGGCATCCCGAGGCTGGGAAGCCGCCGAGACCCGACGACAACAGCCGACGACCTCGAGCCTCGAACCTGAGCCCCGAGCCTACCCCCTCTGAGCCTGCCCCAGATGCGTCCCCGCCTGAGCCTGCCCCCCTAACGCGGGATCAGCCAACATCGAATCGGGCACTCGGATCCGATCGAATTGTGCGTCGGATCGGGCTGCATCGGATCGTCGAGAAACCGGGATCGAATCGGATCGGGCCAGCCCGAATCGAGATCGAATCGGATCGAGATGGGCCCTGCCGCGTTGCCCGTGAACACACCGTGGGTCCCGAGTCCTGCGCATCCGGTTCACAGTGATGCCTCCATCGGGCAGGCGCTCCATGATCTGCATCAGCGCGGCGTTGAACTCCGCGCTGTCGATCCCCTCACGCACGGGGCCGAGCAGCTGGTCCACGACCCTGGTTGGGTTCTCGTCCCTGCGCTGTTCGGGACCACCCGACGGCTAGGATCAAATGGCTTATTCCAGAAATCCTGAACCAAAAAACCTTGCCATCTCTTTGGGTCGCGTCCTTTTTACTTCTGCCGTCTTCAACTTCCGCCGGCCTTCCGCCGGCGGAGGCGGCCTAGTTTTACTTCCGCCTTCCACCGAGGAAGAGATGCCAACGCCGTCGATCCTCGAACCCAGACTCCCGACGCCATGATTTTTTCGTGACGTCGACCCCCAGAAGTCTGGACCCATTGCCTGGGACCGGTTTTTCGTCCTGCGTCGTTTTCCGACGGTCCTGGGGCCCGGCGAGGGCCCCGAGAGGCCAAAAGTGGCGACCAAATCCCGTCGTGATCTCTTCATGACTCGAGGGGGTCTGGGAGGGCGAGGCCCGTCCTTGAACGCCCCAGGCTGCCCAGATCCCAGGTCGCCTGCAGAAGCCTCGTGCCGTGCCGCCATCGGCGCTGGCTCCTGACGCCGCGCGGATCGTTCAACCTTGGACGATCGGCCGCTTCCGAAGCGTCAGATCGTTCAGCATCGACCGACTCTGGGTCGCCGGCGGCGTTCAGCGTTGGACGCCGCGCCGCGGGTCCACACGGCGCGAGCCTACCGTACCCTCGCGCACGGCTCCCCGCGATACAGTCAGCCGGCATCACAAGGATGAGGAGGAGGAGGAGGAGGAGGAGGAGGAGGAGGAGGAGGAGGAGGAGGAGGAGGAGGCACGGGCCTTGGGGGCGCGCATCTCGAAGCTCCTCGAGCGGGGCGCGGCCGCCGAGAGCGGCCCGGGGCGGGCCGAGGAGGCAAGGCTGCCAGGGGCACCCCTGGGAAGGTTCGCCCATCCTTACTGTGCGGGCTGACTGCACCGCAGGAGAGCCCAGAATCGAATCGACAAGTCGGGTCGGCGATCGGCATGAAGCGGATCGGCAGGAATCGGCAGCCCAGTCGGGAGAAGCCGGATCGGCTGAAATCGGCGGGATAGTAGGCCTCCACCGAGGCACCGGGATTTCGCGTCGGACTCCGAAGCCGAATCGAATCGGACTCGGAGGCCATCGAAGCCGAGCCGAACCGCATCGAATCGACGGCATCGACGCGAGCCCTGCTGCACCGCACCTTCGCGCACCGCGCCCCGCGATGTGTGCGCGCGAGGAGATCCTGGCACCCCCTGGCGGCCCTCGCGCCGCCCACCCTCCTGGAGAGCGGGGCAGCCGCTCGGGCCAGGGGCCGCGGCGCGCGAGAGGGCTCCGGCGCGCCCGCGCGGCCGTGGCACGGATTCGGGGTTGAGTGGAGAGGACACGCTCGTCCTCCTCCTCCTCCTCCTCCTCCTCCTCCTCCTCCTCCTCCGCCTCCGCCTCCGCCTCCGCCTTTTCCTCCTCCTCCTCCTCCTCCTCCGCCTTCTCCTCCTCCGCCTTCTCCTCCTCCTCCTCCTCCTTCTCCTCCTCCTGATCCAACAAAAATTGGAGCGGGCGGTTCTTGGCCGTTTTCGGTCTGCGGGGGCCTTCGCGGGGCCTCGGGAGGTCGCGTCAAAAGACGATGCAGGACGGAAAACCGGCCCAAGGGAAGTGGTCTGGACCTCCAGGGCCCACGCATCGAAAAAATTGGAACTGCCAGATGTCTGGGGCGAGAGGACACAAGACCCTTCCGAGGGCCACATTGCCACATGAATGCAAAGGCATGTGTCGCGAGATACATGACATTGGACACAGGGGTGCCCTTGATTTGGCAGGGTCGACCTTCTAATCAACCTCGCCTATCAGGATCGGGAACGTATTCCCGTCGCTTCTTCAGAAGTGGTTGGGCTCACGCACCCACAGCTTCTACCAGAGCCCCGTGGTTGCAGAAACGGGGCTGGAAATGCCCCCCTGGGTCGATGCCATTTGGTCCCACCCATCTGGAGGTCTCCGAGATGGATCTCGTGCACTGGCTGCAGGAAGAAACCAACCAGAGGTATCTCGAGGGCCTCCGAGATGATCATGGCGATTTCAGTGACAGTGAACCCGAACACGATGAAGTCTGGTCGTTCCTCCCAAGCCCAATAGAAAAAACACCCCTCGCTATCGAAGAAGTTCTTCTCCGACTGCGACAGCGCCAAGGCCTGAATCGAGTCCAGGTGCTGCCCCCACCGCAGCGCTGTCACTGCCAGCGTCGACTGCGTCTGCCTCATGGTGTTGCCCCCCGAGGGCCTGAAATGAAGGCTGCCTGCGAAGACGCGACACGACCCCCCCGACCTTCGATCCCGCCACGCCAATCGGTTCCCGCTGGCGTGACTGCTGGGGAGCAGACTTGCCATGGGCACCCAGCGCGGACTAGGAGGAGGAGGAGGAGGAGGAGGAGGAGGAGGAGGAGGAGGAGGAGGAGGAGGAGGGGGAGGAGGAGGCGGAGGAGGAGGGAGGGGGATGAGGGCGGATGATGATGCTGATATGATGATGATGATGATGATAGATGATGATGATGATGATGATGAGGAGGAGGAGGAGGAGGAGGAGGAGGAGGAGGAGGAGGAGGAGGACGAGGAGGAGGAGGAGGGGGAGGAGGAGCCGCCACCGGCACGCGGTGCCAGGGACCGCCGTGGCGGGATCTCAGGGCCAGGGATGGGGCGACGCGTGCCGCGCCCCGAGCCTGGGCGGAGATCGCGCGTCGCGCCAAGTATGAACGGCCTCCAGGCAAGCTCCGTCACCAGGGTCACCTCTGCGGGGGCAGAACATCGGGGATGGACAGAACCCCCTGTAGTAAAACGTGGTTTGGTGGAAACGACCTCGGGCTCAAACCTGGCGGGCGCAAGCCTGGAAGATGAGGGGCCGCGGCGCCCTCTCGAGAACCGAAAACGGCCAATTCACTGATCGACGTGTCAGGGTGGGGGTTCTGTCCACCCCTGAGAAAAAAACACCGTCCATGGACCTCGCCATCGGTGCGTTCTGACCTGGACTTCCAGGCGGATCCAGCCGTGGCGGCGAGGGCCTCCCAGGCGGCCCAGAACGATGAAAGCGAAGCAGGGGCAGCGGCATCGGTGCTCCCCATTCCGCAAAACAAGTGGGGGACGTCTTTTTTTGGGGGGGTTCTGACTTGAGCTGTCTGGGAGGGTTCCGGGGGATCTGGGCAACAGGCCGCCCTGCCGTGGCTGGTCTGGGGGGGGTCTAAAACTGCTCGTTTCGGAGGGCTGTGAGCCCCCTCCCTTGCCTTACGAAATTAGGAATGCCGCTTCTCCTTCTCCGCACCTCGCAGCCCTTCCCGACCAGCCCGCGGGCCAGCGCCACGTAGGGCTGCACATCGCCGCGCGTCCCCCTCGTGATGATCATGACGCGCCTGCCCAGCTCGGAGAGGGGCCAGTCTCGACAACGGCGGCTCGCCTGCCCGGCCTAACTTCGGCGTGGAGCGAGGGGAGAGGGGGAAGTGAGAAGGAGGAGAAGGCCTTCCCAGAGGGCTTGGAGGTGCCCAATGCCTTCTGAGAAGTCTCCTGGGCCCTCCTCGAGGACACAGCAGACCTTTTTCTTCAGAAGGCGCGCTGGCTTCTGGAAAGTCCCGCCGCCTTCTGAGAGGGCCTTCCCCTTCTCCCCTGGGGCTCGCCGCCCTCATACTCGCTCAGCACCGGCCCCTGGACGCCTCCCGCGGCCCCTCCAGGACCCCTGCTTCGATTATGTCGGGCGTGTCCCCCTATAGAGGGGGATTTTCAACGAAAAATAAGCCATACCCCCAAAATGCCCCAAAAAGGCCAACAAATACTCAAACAATAGTCCCCAGACTATTTTTGGACTATTTTTTGATTTTTTCTATGTTTTTAATTCTTCGTCGAAAATCTCCCTGCGGGGGGACAGGCCCGACTTACTGCTTCGAGGCCGACCCCGCCGTGGCGACGCGAGGCCCCCCAGAGAGAGGCCCCACGGGAAAGGAGCCCGCCCAGAACGCCGGGGAGGGCCGCCGCCATGTCGACTGGGGCCCTCGCTGGCCGCCACCGCTCCCCACACCCCAAAACCTCGCCGCTGCTCGCGCCCTCCACCTCCACCTCTGCCTCCTGGCCAGCGAGCCCACAAAGGACGTACGCGCCCAACTGTGTACACGAACACGGCCCCTCGGGAAAAGAGCCCGGAACGACTGGCCCTCGCCAGCCGCCTCCACTCCCCATGCCCCAACCTCGCCACTGCTTGCGCCCTCCTCCTCCACCTCTAGGGGGACCAAAAGCCACATAAGCATAAAAACTCGGAGGTCCGCGCGGACTTCTCGGATCGCCCCTCCCTGGCGCGCGGAGCGCGCCAGGAGCGGCGCCGGAGGCGCCGCCAGGGGGCCCCAGCGCCGATCCGAGAAATCCGCGCGGACCTCCGAGTTTTTATGTTTATGTCACTTTTTGTTCCCCTAACCTCTGCCTCCTGGTTAGCGAGCCCACAAAGGACGTACGCGCCCAACTATGTACATGAACACGGCCCCTCGATCCGCGAGACTGGCCGCGTGATACGAACATATGCGCAATGCGTACTCTCGAAACCAGCGTGGATTCATGTACGTGTGCGTCCTTCTTTCGCTCCTGACTGGTGGGATCCGCCTTGGAGGGTGCCCCCAATCTCGCCCTCCTGCTGGTATGGGCGAGGGCGGACAAATGAGGACGAAGATTAGAGAGGAGAGCGGGGAGGAGGAGAGCGCGCAAAGCTCTGTGGACGTGCTGGAGGTGGTGGCGGAGATGGCATGGGGGGCTCTGCCCCGGTTGCCGCAGTCTTCTCAGAACACCAGCGTGTGTCGAGGGGAACCATACAACCACACTCATCAACTCGCCATCGCTCGGACGTCCATTCCCTGTGCTTTTTTCGGTTTCGTGCGTGGTTTTCTCGCCAAATGATCAAGGATGCTCCTCGAAGGTCCTCGCCGAAGGAAAAATGCACACGTCCGAGCGATGCCAAGCTTCAGGGCGATCCAGCGCTGGTCCGAATCATCCGCGCCGAGCTCCGACAGTATGATTCTTCCACCTGCTGTCCCCCGAACGTCTCACGAGCGCCTTTGCTGCTCGCCTGGGGCCGCGGCGCGATCGGAGGCCTCCCGAGTGGGGTGTGGGCTGATGGTGTCGGTGACTCGCGCCGCATCGCCGCGATGCATCGGCGCCGTCGGGGTGGAGAAGTTCTGGCTCCACGTCGAGCCGCAGCGGCGACGCATCGCCGATGCGGCGCGGGCCCTTGGACCCCATCTGCGCTCGGCGGCGCGACCGGTGGGGGGGAAGCGAGACGGGGCGGGCCTCCCCTGAAGTCGGGCCTGTCCCTCTGCAGGAGGAGCATGCAAACATACGCCAAACATAGCCTGGGGACGATTTCTTTTGACCACGCGTAACCATTTTGGAATACTTTCAGTGCTATTTTTTCTTACTTTTCGTCGAAGGTCTGCCTGTCGGGGGACACGTCCGACTGCAGCCTCCTCGGAGGGCTCGGCAGGCCTCCGGCCCTCGGAGACTTCCAGGGCCTCCCCGAAGGCGCTCGTTGTCTGGCCAGCGGGCGCGGGCGTGCGACAGCGGTCAAGCGCTCGTCGGGCCAGGGGCGGGACGCGCGACATAGGAATCGAGGCACAAGCCCAGGCACCCCCGACGTCAGGGTCTTTCCTCCATAGCGTCGAGACCCCCAGGGGTCTCGACCCACTCCCAGGGGCCCTTCTGTCCTCCCGAGTCGTTGTCTGACGGTCCCGGGGCCCGGGAAGGGCCCCCTCGGAGGCGGAACGTGCAGAAGAACTCGTGCCTTTTTCATGCCTCGAGGGGGGCATCGCTCGGACGTCCATTCCCTGTGCTTTTTTCGGTTTCGTGCGTGTTTTTTTCGCCAGATGGTCGAGGATGCTCCTCGAAGGTCCTCGCCGAAGGAAAAATGCACACGTGCGAGCGATGCCAGCGGGCTGGGACAGGGGAGAGAAGAGCGGACGAGAAGCGAAGAGGAAGGGGGCCGCTCGGAGCGCGCAGCTCGCCACGGGGGTGCCGAGAGGACGCAGGGCGCCGGGCCCCGCAGAGCCCTGGCTGGCCATCGCTCGGACGTCCATTCCCCGTGCTTTTTGTCGGTTTCGCGCGTGGTTTCTTCGCCAAATGATCGAGGATGCTCCTCGATGGTCCTCGCCGAAGGAGAAATGCACACGTCCGAGCGATGCCAAGCTGGAGGCACAGGGAGCTGCTCGGAGGGCTCCTCCGGGGGACTTCTGAGACGTCCCGCTGCCCTCCGAGAAGGCCTTCCCCCTCCCGCTTCCCGCCATGGGAGAGACGGGTGTCCTGAAGTGTTTCGCCGCTCTCGGGCCCTCTCGGGGCCCTCCAGGGGCCCCGGGGCCGTCAGAAAACGACACAGAATGAAGGCCTCGTGCTGGAAAAAAAAAGCCTCAGGGTCCATGACCCGCTTCCCCCATGCTGACACTTCCCCCCCCCAGGAGAGCCCAAAATCAAATCGACAAGCCAGAACGGCGATCGAAATGTATCGAATCGGCGGAACTCGGCAGCCGAGTCGGGAAAAGTCGCATCGGCGGAAATCGGAAGGCCAGTATAGTATGCCTCCAATTAGAAGGCGGAGCCCAGATCGGAATCCCAGGTCGAATCGAATCGGAATCGGAAACAAAAGACATCGGAACTCAGATCGAAATCCCAGGCCGCATCGAGTCGGAATCGGAAGCGCTCGACGTCGCATCGCATCGAATCGGAGGAGTCGAAACGAGCCCTGCCCGCCCTTGGGGCGCGCCACCCGTCGACCTCACCAGTGCCCGGGCCCCGCCCCGGGAGCCCCCGGCACACAGTATCCCCCATCGGCGGTGGACAGAACTCCCTTTCGCAAACCGCCCTTTCGTGAAAACGGCCCGGGACCGACACCGGCGGACCTGGACCCGCAGAACTGACGGCCGCGACACCCTCTCGCGAGCCGAAAACGGCCCATTCGCCAATCGACGTGTCAGGGTGGGGGGTCTGTCCACCCCCGAACGTTTTTAGGGGGGGGGGCGGGGAGGGCTGTAATGCCCAGTCCATGCCCCAGGCGGTAGAGACAGACGCTCTGGGAGTGACCTTCGGTGCGCGGCTTCTGTGGGGGGCCGCGCGGGGACCACGCGCGGGCGCGCAGGACGCCCGCCGATCGGGGCATCTCTGCCGCCCGCACCCGTGTCCTCCTCGCTAATCGACGTGTCAAGGTAGGATTAAGTCGGGCCTGTCCCCCTACAGGGGCATTCTCGACGAAACATAAGAAACCCCCAAACTAGTAAACAAATAATCCAAAAATAGTCGGGGGACGTTTTTTTTTTTTTTGTCGTTGAAAATCCCCCAGTAGGGGGACAGGCCCGACTTAAAGGTAGGAGTTGATTTCAGCATCCGGACCAAGCTGCCTCTTGCCTGGCCTTTTGGGTGCCGCTCCGGCCACCCGCGCGCGCCGAGGGCCACTCCCCCCGCCGGGGGCGTGCCCCCGAGGCTGCCCTTTTTTTCGGGCGCGGCCTGGCCGACCCCTGACAGACCATCCCCTTCTCGTGACGTCGTCCTCGCTTTTCGATGTTCCCGTCTTGGTTGAGCAGGGGCCGACCGTCCCGGCACTCCTATAGTCCTACCACGAAATGTTCTCAGAGCCCCACAGATGTTTTACTAACAAAAACAGTGTCCTTAGAACATAAACCCGATGACATAGGACAAGACAAACTCCGCCAGACATGTTCTAAGAACATATCGTGGAAACCACAAACAGGTTTTTAGAACATTGTTTGGTAATTAAGGCTATCGGCGAGCCAGGACGCTCCGCCACTGCTTGACTTGGGGCGAGGCGAGGGGGACGTCGCGGAAGGGGATGGCTTGCTAGGGGTCGGTTTGGCCCCCCCCCCCCCCCGACTCCTTGCTCCCCGAGAACCTCCCCGCGGGCGCGCCGCACGGGGGTTGGATGCTCATCCTGGGGGCCTTCCTGGCGACACTCGCTCCCCCCGTGCGTCAAAACTGCGTCGAATGTCCGTCGGTTTGGGTCGACCCTGAGTAGAACCCGAGTCGATCTCGAGCCGACCTCGAGCCGAACTGGGGTCGAACTGGAGTCGCACAGATCCATTAGGTGGGCCCCAGGGGGGTCCCCAAAACGAGCATATAAAGGAGGGGGGCGAGTTGCGACGGGGGGGGGGGGGGGGGGGGGGGGGACATCAACGCCAACGCCTCCAAAACCTTGGACTGACCAAGGAATCGAGCCAGCAGCGGAGGGGGATGCTGGCTTCTTGACCCAGGCCAAAAGCCTGAGTCACAGCGCAAGTGAGACAGCTCGACGAGAGGCCGAAAGGACCTCTGCGTCCAGGTGCCCAAGCTCAATGCGCACCTGCCGCAACATCTCTGAGAGAGGGGGCAGGCACACAGGGC